TCGCAAGCCCCGCGGTGATCCAAGAGCGCAAGCCCATCCACACCCTCGTCCTCGATACCGGTCCGTTGATCAAGAACGACCCTCCCGTGAGCACCCTTCTCGCCCAGGCCGACGAACTGTTCATGCTCCCCTCCATCATCGACGAGATTCGCGACGTCAACACACGCACCCGCGTCCAGACTACCCTCATGCCCTTCGTCAAGCTGCGCAACCCGCGTCCCGAGAGCATCAAGTTCGTTACCAACTTTGCGCGCCGCACTGGAGATCTCGAAGTTCTCAGCAGACCCGATTTGCACCTGCTTGCTCTTACCTACGAGCTCGATGTCGAGAAGAACGGTGGCGATTCAAGACTTCGCAAGGACCCCAATCAACGCATCCCCAACACTCCTAGGTCAGGCGCCAGCGATGCTGCTGAGGGCAAGGCTACCCAAGAGGTGCCCTCAGTCGAAGGCGAGACAGTCGAAGGCGAGACAGTCGAAGACGAGACTTCTACGGGGGTGAAGGAGAATGTAGACAGCACCGAGACTGAGGCGACGGCAAGCGATGAGACAACGCAAGCTCCGCCTGCGAATGCGGATACGACGGACATCACACAAAAGATGGAGAAATTGGAGGTTCAGGAGGACAAGCCCAACGAGGAGCAAGCAGCGGTCGAAGAGAGTACCGCCGAAGCAGTCGTCGCAAAGGAAGACGCATCGGACGACGAGGACGGCTGGATCACGCCGTCCAACGTCAAGAAGCACAAGGAGAAGGACAGCAAGAGGCTCCAACCGACGGAGCCGGCAGTCGACGTCAAGGTGGGCATTCTCACCTCTGACTATGCCATGCAGAACGTCGCCCTGAGAATTGGGCTGTCCCTGCTGTCGCCTGCCATGTCGCGCATTACACAGCTCAAGACCTGGGTTCTGCGTTGCCACGGCTGCTTCCAGGTCTGTAAAAAGATGGACAAGCAGTTTTGCCCCAGCTGCGGACAAGCGACGCTCACGCGAACCTCGTGCACCACCGAGGAGGACGGCTCCTTCAAAATCCACCTGAAGCGCAACTTCCAGTGGAATAATAGAGGCAATGTCTTCAGCATTCCCAAGCCGGTCGCTGGAACCTCCAGCGGCAAGCTGGCGAAATATGCCGGCGGCAAGAACAACTGGGGTACCAACCTCATCTTTGCGGAGGACCAGAGGGAGTATGAGAAGGCTGTTGGTGAGAACCGTCGCGCCCGTCGCAGGGACCTCATGGACGAGGATTACCTACCAAGCATCCTGACAGGTGATCGTACTAGCAACAACGGAAAGGTGCGGTTGGGCCCTGGAAGAAACGTGAACGGGCGCAAGAAGAGGTAGACGGCATAGTCTGGCTGTGTGGCGGTCGACGATATGTTTAAATGTTCTGCATGATACCATGATAGACCTCAAAAAGGATGGACGGATGGGAAAAGGGCACTCTTCTTAGGACTGGGAAGACAAAACAAGGTTGAATTCTTAAATGCGTCGCTCCTGCTTGATATTGCAGAGCGGTCTGCCCCAAAACGGACCGTGTAATAGACTCCGGTTTCCCCATGAACACAAGCCTTCCCCCCAACGCCTTTAGTTTTTATGTGCCAGAGCCTTGGATCGGGGAGCACCCGCGAACCGTTATGCTCTATCCCCACGCTGCGCAGTGCTGATGCTCTCTCCTGCCAGTCGAACAATCCGTCGCCGTCATGTGATGCTGGTCGGAACGGTTGTGTCTCGGCCGGGTATATGATGGTAAGATGCCGTTCGTTTGGTTTTAGGAAATTACTCGGTCTCTGTGGAGGGGTAATTAGTCACTGGAACCAATGACCACGATAGGAAAGGATCATGTACTCACTCTGCTGGGTAAGAAGGAGGTTGAAGCGGCGCTTGAGGGTGACGCGCTGGCGCGACCACTTATCGTCGGGGGAGAAACGGGCGGGGTGCGCGGACTTGGTGACCTTGCCGTCGACAACCTTCTTCAAGGTGTACAGACGGTTGCCCGCCTCGTCGAGAGTGTACATCAAATGCATCTTGAAGTCGGCGTTTAAGCTGGCGTGAGTGTGGTGGTGGTTGTCGGCGGAAGAAGGTGGTCGGCGCAGGCTTTGGGTGGATGCTATGGAGACCAAAGAACTTTTTTTTTCCCCTGCGATTTGAAAATTTCAGGCCACGTGACCTTCGGTCAGGATCCAACTGGAAGGACGAATTGGATATTCACCGAAATATGGGGTCACCGCCTGTTCTCCACTTTTGGTATCAGTGTCAACACTCCAGTGCCATCATCTCATCCGGTGTTATTTCTTCATTTTCTTGCAGATGTCTGTCTGTCTCAAGTGTTTTTGGGATTGGAATCTTTTTAAAAGAAGTATCTTGAATCTTTTTGATGTTGTTTTCCGTAACATTTAGCCCGCTTCTGCTTTACTTTACGTGCTGTTGGTAAACACCTCAATCACCAACGCGACATTCATATTAGGCATCTCCAAAAGCGAACAACAGGTTCCTCGGCCGTTCATGGAATTCTATACCATCTCATCAGGATTTAATCTTAGTCCCGAAAACACACCGTCGACCATGTCTATCAGTGGTGATGTCCCATGTCCTGCTCTTTGAACGGTTTGATGCTATGCCCATGAGGGAACGAGGGGCCTGAACAGCGTGATTAGTAGGTGCTCAAGTTTGTTCTCTCATGGGACGTTTCCACTGACCGAACTTTGGATGGACAATGTAGTTGTCCTGATACACGTCCACGGTGTTGTCTCGCGAGTACTCCATGACCTTACTGAAATCCACGCATTGGTGAGGCGCCGTCTGATTGACGATGGGCTGGGCATCTTTGTCGGTCCACATGTGAGTGATGATGGATATATCGCCTCGACACGCTGCCCCCATTCTAAGCACCTCCAGACAGTGCTGGTTGTGCTCTCTGTTGATCGCGATTTCTTTGTCCGTTGCGTTCGGGAAATAGTACTCGGGTGACAGAGTCTGATAAAGCCGTTTCTGATGCCCTAAATTAGCGACCTTAACACACTCGGAACCGCGAGCAGAACATACGATGCAGTGAAGCTCATGGAAAACGCTCAACATGCCCAGGTATCCGCCATCTGGAAGCTTTACAGCTTCATGTTCTCGGCCCCAGCGGTGTACCCATCCATCTGATACTCTGATATTGTTGTCTGTGTCGTTGGATTCAGCATAGACTCGGTGAAATAAGCTGGAGATTCACAGACATTGCAGCAAATCTTTCCAAGCCTGATCAACTTCAGGCCGAGGTTCCCCAGTGTATTTCCCGTGTGGAGGTCCTTGAATGGGGAAGACTTCAAGATGAGTCTTGTCGCCGATAGCTCTTGGGGGGGCTGTTATCAAGGTCAGCGTTTGGTTTGAAACGTAATGTCTGCAAACTATTCAGCATACAATCAATTTGACTGAATACCCCGGCGCTCGGTCTGCCCCAGATCATTGAAATGACGAAGATCGTTGAGTATGCTATAATCAAGAAAGCATGAAGTATCCATGATCTGACCCTGTGCCACTGCGACGGCTGCTTTGATCGGGCTTCCGACAGCTCGACCTCAACATTATCGAGACTCGTTGCGGATCTCTCATCTAAATAGAGGGGCGTGTAGCCCTTCTCTTGACGGGCCATCCTAAAGGCAGCACAAGAATTTTAGAATAAAATATTACACAAAACGCTGCCGGCGTCAGGTAGGAACCAGGAACCCAAATGTGAACGCGAGTCTCTAGTAAACAAGCCGAATGAAAAACTGAATGAACGAAACAGGAGTAGAGGGGGACACGGCGTAGTCAGTCACTTACCACCGTTCTATCTTGAAGGATTCGAGGGGTTGTGAACGACTGCAGCCCCGCTCCCTGCCTGCTATCCATATCACGTCTTGGATGACAATCGCACATCTAGTGGCTTCAACTTCTGATCCTTCTTCCCGCAATTGGAAGGTCACTATCGATGCGCTCATCATATCTGACGATGGCGTTCTGAACCAGTTGGGCTGGAGCAGTCTTTAAACGCATGGCCTCTGTCCGTATCTGCGTGCTCGAATCCTTCGAGAAAGCAGCTAAACCAGATATGCTAGCTCTCAGGTCATTCGAAAGATCTAAGCATGTCTATTCGTTGAACTAGGTAGCCCACAACCTGATCGCCGCCCGATTTGCATCTCGACCCCCTTTTACAAGCTTAGCTGGAATAAGCATTTGCTGCCGCAGGCATCGAATTCGAAAGACGTATCTGAACGTAATGACATCCATCGAAGTACTGTGGTTAATTATGAACGCGTCTGTCAGACAGTCGGTCTGAAAATATCTTGCTGTCACGTTGCTAGATATCCTGAGTTTCTCTGCATCTCATGTAGACTAGGAAGGCTTCGCAACCAAACAAAACGGCAAATTGATAGTGGCTAACTTTGCTCGAAACTATGCGAAAAGGTCTAGCACTCACGATACTCCCAGGTTTCTCTGCGGTATGTGTGAATCCTCCCAGCTGTGGGTCATCAAGCTAATGTGAATGGGGAAGGTCGCCCCCAGTGAGAGCTGTGACTCCTTCTCCCAAAGGGCTACTTCGAATGGGGTAAAATCCTTCAACTTCATGATCCTGTATTGACCGCCTTGCGACGTTCGGAAAACGCTTACTCCGTGGCGACTCTAAGTGGAGCTGATAGCTTGTGCAACCATATCCTCTAGCAGCAGAGGTAAGAAGTGCGATTCGTCAGCTCGCAAAGCCGTCCCATGTCACCTGCCTGATTGATCCATTGGATCAGCAAGCAAGGTATCAGCTCCTATGAGAAAGTTCCTCTCGCCATATCCTCTGGCCCCTGGGCTCCGAACCAGTCGCCCCTAGAGGCTGCCAATGCAAACGCTTTCCATCATAAGAGGCAAGCGGACACTTACTCCAGCTCTTCATGAATCCAGTCCTCTTTGTCATTTCATTAGCTCGTAACACTTCAAGCTAAAGTTATCTCTCGAAGTTTCCATCAAGCTTTCCATACACCTCGCTGCTTCAAGATGAAGACCGCATTTCTCCTCGCAGCTCTGGCAGCCTGCGTCGTTTCTCTCCCAACAGCACCCCATGTTGGACTTGGTGGGCCGGAAAGTGTTGAACTCCCTATAGATCTCTATTGACTCTTAACAGCCCAGACCAATGCGGATGAATCTTACCTCCCGATGAAGGCTCGCGCGGAGACCAGTGCCGATGAGTCGTATCTGCCGATGAAGCGGGCCGAGACGAGCGCCGACGAGTCTTATGATCCTATGCGACGAGCTGAGACCAGTGCCGACGAGTCGTATCTGCCGATGAAGCGGGCCGAGACGAGCGCCGACGAGTCTTATGATCCTATGCGACGAGCTGAGACCAGTGCCGACGAGTCGTATCTGCCGATGAAGCGGGCCGAGACGAGCGCCGACGAGTCGTATTTGCCCATGAAGCGTGCCGAGACTACCGCTGATGAATCTTACCTGCCAATGAAGAGGGCCGAGACCAGTGCGGATGAGTCCTATCTTCCTATGTAAACTAGCTCTTACTAGTTCGGAAACTAGTGCTTTAGTAGTAAAGTTATAGGGGTATCATTTTATTCATGTTCAAGGCCGTTGGTTTCATGATTGTCAGTCGCTGTTTGCTCGCCCGCTGACATGGCCCGAAGAGTGTTGAGGTCACAGGAGCACTGCACCGACCCGAGCACACGAAAGAAAAACAGATATGGACGCATATATGTGTATGATTCATCTATCTTTAGTGAGTTTAGAGACTATGTTAGTTTACAGAAAAGGATTGCGGCGGCAGGGTTGACTTTCTTGACTTTGACTCGTCACCTCTCCTTCGGCTCCCAAGGCTCGGAGTCCGAATAAAGAAGGGACATCACCAACAACATGAATAGGCACAGTCCGTTATTACATGGTTTCGGAGATTGAGCTTAGGTCAAATGTAGCTGTTTGATTGGATAGAAGTATTGCTTCACTAGGGGTTTCATTGACAAAAGTCCCAACCTAGTTCACTCTTGCACTAAAGTTCTGGCATCTGAAAGTAAAGCTTGTGCTTCATCACACCAAACGAATCAAATTATTACAAGCCCTACAATACTGGGTAAGTGAAAGAATGAAAAGATTGCTAAGACAGCTGGTAATTGGGGTCATGGAATTCGTAATAGCCTGACCCAACTTCTGTGGTCGCGCCCCCATTAGGCAACGTGATGTCGGCCCTGGTGTTGGGCGGGACTTGAACATTCAGATGAAAGCCGTTGCGGTGCAAAGCATTGTCCTCCGTGTTGTTCTCAAACCACCATTGAACTTTGACCTCTCCGTAGGGACTGATGAACTTGGCGTCCGCACTGGTGATGTTTCCTCCTGGGACGGGGGCGACGGCGATTCTCTTCCAGCCAGGCTCAGCAGGAGCGATGCCACCGATAACTTGATGCATCCAATTGGCAACAGAGCCAAAGGCGTAATGGTTGAAACTCGTCATCTCGCCAGGATTGACGCTTCCGTTCGACAACAGACTGTCCCAACGCTCCCAAGTTGTTGTGCCGTTCTGAACAACTTGGTAAAGCCATGAGGGAACCCGAGTCTGTAGAAGCATGCGATAGAAGTCCTCCGTAGCTCCGATGTTGCGGAGAGCGAACCCTAAGGGAGGAGTTCCGGCGAAGCCCGTGCCGACGAGGTAGTCATTTTCTGCCACGATGTCACGCAGCGTCTGCGCCGCAGCAGAACGCTGCTCCTCGTCGGTGTAAAGTCCAAAGTCTAGAGCCATGGCATACGAAGTCTGAGTCCTATTTGCGAGGGCGCCGTCTCGAATCCAGGCGTTATGGAACTCCTCGGTCAGGTTGTTCTGTTGACGGCGATATTCCTTCGCGGCATCGTCCCGACCCAGAGCTGCTGACATGTTGGCCAGAAACTCCGTCATGTGAATGAGATAAGCATCCGCAACGAGAATCTTCGCAGTCGTAGCGTTGCCAGGGGCATCCGAGGGAGCTTTGGGGTCAAGCCAATCCGCAAACTGGAACGAACTGCGATTCCAGAGACCAACCTCGTTGCGACTGATACCCTCATCAATCCAAGCCTGAGCTTGAGAATATTGCTCTTCCAACAAATCAAGGTCGCCGTAGGCCTGGTAAATATTGAAGGGATTAGCGACGGCGACGTCACCCCACACAGCAGCAGGCGTGGCAGGAGACTCTGGCGGGATGGTCGGCACAGTGAAGGGAACGACCATGGAGTCGTTTCGTTGCATTTCTGACCAAATATCCTTGTGCCAACCCTTGAAAAAGCCGGCGGCGTTGTACAGGTAGTTGGCGGTGGGAGCGAATGCATGCGCATCTCCAGTCCACCCAAGACGTTCATCGCGTTGCGGGCAATCGGTTGGGATTGAAAGGAAGTTGCCCTTCATAGACCATCGGACATTGTGATGAAACTTGTTGAGAAGTTGGTTCGAGCAATCGAACCAACCAGTTTCTTCCATATCACTGTGAACCACGACCGCCGTGATTGACTCAGGCGTTAATGGGGTCTCTGCCGGCCAACCATCGATCTGAGCGTAGCGGAAACCGTGGAATGTGAAACGAGGTTCCCATGTTTGGTTACCGTTGCCATGTAGGATGATGGAATCCTCTGCCGTGGCGTACCGAAGAGGTCTTAGGGCTAGTTCACCGTCTTCCAGGACTTCGGCATGGTGGAGAGTGAGGTTTGTCCCGCTGGGCCCAGAAACAGTAAGCCTGAGCCAGCCGACAAGGTTCTGTCCGAAGTCGATGATGGTCTTTCCCGAGGGCGATTGAAAAATTGCTTCAGGCTTCCTCTCTTCAACCCGCCTGACGGGTGGTCCATCAGGTGGAACCAGATCGCCTTTGGGCGCATCTACCTCCTTTGTAGCAAGCCAGCCGCTGGCTTCAAAGACCGCGGAAGACCAACCCTCCAGGTCCGCCTCTAGTCTGGAGTCGTACTTCTCGCCGTTGTAGATCTCAGATGTGAGAATCGGGCCGGTACTCGCTTGCCACGAGGTATCGGTAGGAACTTCGACGGTGCTGCCGTCATCGAGAGTGACAACAAGGAGAGAAATCAAACCAATGGTGTCACCGTAGTTGTTACGGAAGCCGCCTTCATAACTCAATCGACCCGAAAACCAGCCTTCACCAACAACCACTCCAATGGCGTTATCCCCGCTGTTGACAAGTTCGGTAACATCGTACGTGTCGTACACATGCCGATAGTTGTATGATTGCCAGCCCGGGGCAAGCACAAGATCTCCAACCCTGTTTCCGTTGATCTCAGCTTCATATAAACCCAACGCAGTGATGTAAAGGCGAGCGCTTGATACGTTTGCTGTTACAGGAAAAGTCTTTCTGAAGTAGATTGGCCTCTTTGGAGCATCGATCTCGGTGTCTCTATCGGCGGCGATGGGAACAGCGCCCAGCCAGTCACTGCTGTTGAGGAGCCCAGTCTCAACAGTGACCCAGTCGGACCACGGTGTCGAGGGCTGACCCGATTGACCATGGGCTCGGGCCCTCACAGTAGCTTGTTCAGCCGTGCTTAGAGGCGATTCGGGCCATGGGACAAGCAGGGAGTCGGAGGAGTTGACGCTGTGAATGCTTGGTGCGCCACTGGTACCCCTGATGACCTCGAGGTCGTAAGAAGTCTGCTGCCAGTCGACAGCATTGCCTCCGAACCTCCACGAGATGCGAGGCTCTGACTCGGCTATGCCAAGAGCCAGGCGGTGGTGCTCGAAAGATAGCTGTGATATCGAGACAGCCATTGTATTGAAGGGACCTGCAAGGCAAAGAGGAGTTGCGCCTGTGAATCAACTAGACCTCACAGGGCTTTCCCAAATGGCAGATCATTATATATCTTGCAATAACAACTCGGGCCTTCTTCACCCGTGAATTTGTTGCTGCCTCTGCCTGAGGTCGATGTTGGCAAGCCCGGAGAAGACTCGCGGCAGTCATCTTCGGTGGGCTTTGTGCCGCAGACGAGCTCAAGCTGGCTCGATGAGCTCATTCCAACCTCCATCTCGTCTTGCAATGCCCGAAATCTCTGGGGATCGGGCCGTTTAGCTTGCGGGGTCCCCAGACCAACAAGGTGGGATCCCCAACCCCACGGGGCGATATGCTTAGAAGGATGATGATCTCCGGAGCGGCAGCATTTTTGGTCGGAAATCCCGAGCCCAGGGTACCAGTGCCGGTGGGACGACGTCTGCGTGATCCATTGAGATTTTGTATCGAGGCGAGACTATTTGAACATCGCGTTTGCTTGCTTCTCCTCTCAGAGACCATTTCGTAACTTCTACATGTTCACGGCTTCAGCACATAGCTTCATCGGAAGTAGAATGTATAAAACCAGTGAAGGACAGCGCTCCCGGGAAGCTAAAACGAGGAAGTCAATGGGATGAACTGCAAAACAAACAGGGAGCGCGGAGAAGTCTTGAGTACCTGGCAACCCCGCAAACTCGGTTGCCGGTAGTTGGGGAGAGCCCGATGCCAGGGCTTCATGACCCAGCTTCTCCGCATTTGAGTGTGCGGGGGGATGCAACCAGCTGACAGACGGTGTGAAAATACCGCTTCAACGATACGGCAATGTTCCTGGCTGACTCGTATCCACAGGAAATACGCGTTTAGTGTTACCGTGTATGGACATTGGCCATCCTGCCAAGGAAGCACATCACCAGAGCCTGCAGCACAGGCTTGGCCTGGAGCCGACACTCCCCGTGACCGACAAGAGATTTTCCCCCCATACATTTGGAGATTCTTGACTAAACACCTTCGGATTTCCCGAAAACTGGAGGAATAAAAATGAGTTGTTTGGCCGGTGGTCTTCCCAAAAAAGATGGCAGAACGAGCACCCTGGTCAGCCTTCCGTAATCAAGGGGCTCCAGCTGATGTCTCCGTCCTCGGCCGAAATGTACCTTATGGATTCCGCTTAGAGTTTCTATAACACACACACCCGACCACTGCAAAGAGCTTTGATGAAGCTGTCGAGCTGCTACGGCGGAGTTTTCCTGCTTAGCACGAGCCACCCACCACGGCGTATGGACAGGCTTTGACGACAGGTGGTTTGGATGAAGAAACAAACAATCTGCGATGACTAAGCTAAGTACATGCAAATATTTCCATGGTTTCGGGCGGAATTCCGCGGACGCGTGCGCGGGCGCCGTCGGCCCACATGTTTGTCTTCAAAAAGCCCCATCATTGTGTGCCTCGGGATCTTTGGGCCAGAAGGTCCGTGATCGTTGTTCCTCTTGAGTTTTGTCTTCAACACAGTCACTTTTGTTGCCCTAAGCTTCTCCTATCATCAACCAAACACCCAGAAACAGACCGCTCAACAGAAGAGATGGACATCCCAGCCAACAAGAAAACGGTCCTTATTACCGGGTACGCCACCGCAGCCCGCCGCCAATGACATGCCTGACTCGCTAGAAGGGTCGCCGAAGGAGGGGTCTAGTGCTGACAAGCTTTTTGACTGTAGCTGCACCCCGGGAGGAATTGGCCACGCGCTGGCCAGAGAGTTCCACGCCAAAGGTGGGCAGTCTG